GGACGAGAATTCCACAGGCGGGAAGTGCGAGAAAAGCAGCTATTTGAGTAGAAGAGACAGTTACATTTAACCGTTTCGACAGTGAAAGGGTGGGACCGAGATGCAAAACTTATTATAAAAATGTACTGTTGAATTCATTTTTTTTGGTGGGGGGGTCACTATTTACCCATAACTGGGACCCTAACAGGTGCTACCACCCCGGTGGGAATAATAGCAGAAGCTCCAATTTCCGGATTATAGCCCTTCCTGTCGGATGCAGTTACACTACTTGATTAAAAAAAAATACATTATTCTGATGAACGACATGATAGAAAAATAGTTTTATCAGACAAAAAAGCGGACATTGAATGATAAAATGAAAAAGTAAAAATCTTAGTAATTGTTTTATTCAAGGAATCACTTTTATATACAAAAACAGTGGCAAAGAGTAGAGCACACACCAGTAGGAGTTTATATCGAAACGTTAAAGACACTACGAAACTCGGCCTTTAAATTAAAATTTTCATGTTCGATTTATCATGATGAACTGATCCAATCTGAATATAAATATATATTAATACATATACAAATACCTATGTTTAGGCGTGCGACTTACATGTCGCTGGTTGTACAGCTTATCGGCCACAAAGAGATCTACTTTGTGCCCGATGAGCTGGAAAACCAGCGAAACCGAAGTCGTACACCTAAAAGTAAGTATTTGTATATGTATTTTTATTAATATATATCTTTGCTCTGTCTAACTACATCGAGCACTCTTATGTTTACACTTCATGGATGAATTTGAAGATTATTTATTTGCTTGCCTGTCTATGCACGCCAACACGTACGTATACGGTTGCTTATATCTAGTCGTTTGATTTATCCTAATCTATACCTACAAATATATATATATATATATATATATATATATATATATATTGAACAATAAAAAATATTTAAAAAATTAAAATCTTCAGACACTGGGTTGTATATTAATATTCCTTCGTTTTTTTTATTATTTATTATATATATATATATATATATATATAGATAATATTAGTGGAAAATATACATACATATGAAAAAATATATCGTATTTACGATTCCAATGGAATAAATTATGACCATGGAATATTAGTGTTTAAACCTTTTATATATATATATATATATATATATATATATATATATATATATAGTATATAATTGGTATATACGGAAAGAATGTAACAATGTTTCCCCTAGCGAAGGATCGTTAATTAATTTGAAACATTTAAAACAATTTATTTTATCTTCAACATCATCACTTGATAAGACACCGAGGGTGTTGAAACAAAATGGCTATTTTTGTAGTGATTTTATAGCATACTTATGTTATAATTTTTTTTAATTATATATATATATATATATATATATATATATATATATATATATATATATATATATATATATTAGGTATTTAACCTGCATAAAATTAAAATAAAATTTAACTATATTAAATTTGAAGTAGGCATTTACGAAACAGGGTGAAAAATATCCCAAGTAATACATCGGTAAGACATCTTGGAATTTAAATGACAGATATGATAGCAAAATTGAACATAGTGTGCGACCTTTTCGCTCGATAACTCAATTATGATTGAGTATTGAGTTCGATACATTACAGATTATTGACCTTGTGCTACTCTTAGTAAATCGCTATATGAACACGAAAAAGATATTTAAAAAAAAAAAAATATACTCAATGAATTAGTTGTTTATGATAAAAGGTCGGATCATGATTTTAACTTGAATGCGGTTCTATTTAAAAAAAAAAACGCAGAAATTTATTAAGTAAAAATATATTGCAAACGCACTAATCACAGAATAATCTACAGCCGGTTGACGTTAAACAATATAAAACTTATCTTCTTTTCTCACAGAATTACAACGAAGTGGAACAATTAGAAAGAAAAACAATTAAAATAAAAGCCATAAAACAAGTTGAATTAAATAGGCGATGTTTAATATCTACAGACATCAGACGTCAACATTTAAATGCAAAGACTGCGCCTATCTGTACGTTTAACGTTTCGTAAACAGCGTTTACGGCATTTTTCTCTTTCAGCTTTCATATATAAGATGGAATCCATTAATAAAACCGTTTTTAGTCTTAATAAGTAATTTCCCGGGGCGAAAAGCGTCACTCGAATGTTTCCTATTCACATTTTGCCATTCAGTCGTCCATAATTAATTACATAAAATACTCACAAATGTATAGTTTTATGTGACTGGGTCTTTTTGTCGGCTGCGACTGTATTTTTCACAAATTCATCACATACTTCAGCATTTTTCTTGACTATATATATATATATATATATATATATATTTTAAATTTGGTTTGGTTTGTTTTGTTTTACGGCATATCAACCTCAATGGGTTATTTAATGTCGACAAAATTTTCATTGTTGCTAATATTTTTTTTTCCCAAAAATCTATTTCTGGTAATATTTTTTCCTTCAAAAATCTATTTCTAGTAAAATTTTTTCTTTCGCTGGTAATATTTTTTTCAAAAAATGTACTGCTGGTAATATTTGTTTTCCAAAAATGAATTTCTGATAATACTTCTTTTTTACAAAGTATTTCTGGTATTAAAACCTATTTTTACACTTTCATAGTGTTTTGACCACAGATTGGGAGTTAACTATTTGCCCATAGCTGGGAACCTAACAGGTGCTACCACCTTGGGTCAGGTTGGACCTGGGAACACCAGCAATGAAGAGGTGGTTCAACGCTCTTCAAAACCTTCTGATCAGAGGGCTTGCTGCTGGACGTAGTCTATCGTCATACCCAGGACGGTTTTTTTCAGAAGAAATTAAGAATGGCACCAATTTTATTTGTATTTATTTATTTTTAATCATTCCAAGCCAAACAAAGCAATAAAGACACTAAGATGCAATATCTATGAATATGTTATAGCCTATCTATTTTGCTACTTATCTCTATATATATATATATATATATATATATATATATATATATATATATATATATATATATATATATATATATTAGAACGTTCGATTTCTGACCACGAGGCCCGGGTTCGAATCTCACCACGACTGATTTGTCAGGAAGTAGACTTCCTGATGTTATCGGACTGGAGGGGGGATGATTCCAGCGTGCGGCACATTTGGAAAGTGTCAGAAAACCATACCATCGGTTGACCCAAACCTTGTAAGTGAAAATGGATAGACGGAGCCTTGAGGGCCGTCGATAGCTGTGCTAGCACGAAGTCACATGTCATCGTAACAGAGTTTGTGAGTGTGCTGGTTTTGTACAGATTGTTGATCACGCTAGATAACACACTCTCTCCCAGAAACTGTAACTAAGGTCTGCCCAGCATAGTTGCAGTATAAACCACAGGTGGGCTCTGTGTGTGTTGAACAAACACAAACGTGCCATAGCGAGCGTCTCCAATAGGAATTGGCTAGCCGCCCAAATAGACCGGTATCTTCGAGTACAAGCGGCCAGCTATTCTATCTATCTATCTCTCTCTCTCTCTCTCTCTCTCTCTCTATATATATATATATATATATATATATATATATATATATATATATAGATAGATAGATAGATAGATAGATAGATAATATAATATAATATTAAATTTGCGTCCAGGATCTTACAATATATCACCATTCATTGCAGATTTTCTGTTGGCACAATGTTGGTCAGTCAAAAACAATGTTGAGAGAGAGAGAGAGAGAGAGAGAGAGAGAGAGAGAGAGAGAGAGAGAGAGAGAATTTAGATGAATTTGGCTAGATTGAAAAAAATATTCTTTCAAAATTTTTTAAACTGCCAGCGTCTCTCGTTTCGTGCGCATGTGTAGTCGTGGCAACATCAACGAAGCCATTGCTAACGGATGAAACGCGTCACAATCTTTTTCCAGTTTGTCATACTATTTTCTGAAAATATATATATATATATATATATATATATATATATCGAATTCCATTCGAATCTATTACATGCACTTACGTGCTAGTACCCTTAGGAAAGGTATGAATCTCTTCTACCTCTCCAGCAATGCGTAAATAGCAGGATAGGATGGCACCTGGTCTAGGGAGAAGGGCAACTCTGAATTCAAAAACCTGCGGAGGGTCGTTTGGGGACCTCGTGGCACATAATGCACCAGGTCTCTTTATTCAGCCCTTCAAAATTGTAGTTGGTTCTGCACAAATCCTTCAACATTATACTCAAATCATATGTGCTGGCGTCTGAGCTGTCAATTCCTAGGAACTGAGCTGCTTGACCCTCATACGTCGAATCACACACACACACACACACACACACACACACACACACACATATATATATATATATATATATATATATATACGCACACAGCTTCAGTCACTTTCACATCGACGTAACGTACAGCTTTAATATTTTCGTATTTTCATAGATTCAGTAGCTGTCTATATTTCTGAGATGAGGTATTTTGTACACTATTTACATTGTTCGGACTATCTTCCTCATCTTTATTGCCATATTTATCACAACTCTTCAGGAAGTCTTTATTTCGTTAGCTGGGGTAGACTGTTCTAGTTCCACGTGCCATGTCTAATGGATGCCAGTTATCAGTTATCTCCCTTTAATTACCCTCTGAAAGTTTTCTACTGCCTTAACCAGGTATTGAACACACACTCTTTGGGTCGTGTCATTGGATCTAACTAAAGCCTTTATCCACTGTTCCATGTGTCCTTGAGGACATCTGTGTATTAAATCCTGGTATTTATAAACCTAAGAATGCCGTGGCGTACAACATCTGAAACGTGATAAATATGGCAACAAAGATGAAGACGATAGTCCGAACAATGTAATTTTCATAGATTACCAAGAAAATATTTATATAAAAAGCATAGATTATGTCGGTGTGAAAGTGACTAATGAGCCTTCTTCATTAGGACGTCGACTTTATAAATTTAAGCACAGTACTGCATTGGCAGGAATATCATTGAATTGGCTGGTGGAGAAGAGACTTACAACATCTGATATTTCCAAGCAGTCACCCGTCTAGGTACTGATCAGGCTGGGCCTTGTTTAACTTCGGTGATCGTACGGGAAGTGTTGTTTCAACGTTATATGGTCATAAGCTTAGTATAAAGCAGAAATTTAGTCTGTGGTTTGTTGAAGAGACAAAAATGTACCTGATGTTTTACATGATGTTTTACATACTGAAGCTCCTAACGATTGAAATTTCACCCACTCCGCGTAAAACTCTGTATTTTTCTCTATTATTTTGCATGCTGACGCCGATCGGAACTAAAGTTGGATATTTTGTGAGATCAGCACACTTTTAATATATTTTCTCTGTAAATTCTTCTCACTTTTAATCAGACTATTGAAATTCGATCCCGACTGGCATTTCTTAGGCTGAAATTGTAACTATTTACATAATTCAGACTGTTGTCCTCATCTTTATTACCATATTCACGACGTTTCGATCAGTGTACGCTCCGACCTTCTTCAGGTGATATACGCTAGAATTTCGAACCGTTTATTTAGTCGAAATTGTTATTAGATGTATAGATAGATCCCTACAAGTGATCCTTGCAATGATTTTTGAGATTTCTGGATGTTTCACTGATGCATGTAATTGTAGATTTTGTGTAAATTATCTTGAATATTCCTGTATCTGGTTTATTGATGTTGCTATTCCGTTAGGTGATGGCAATAGATTTTAAAGTTTAAGACGAGACGCTGATAAATTTTAAAACAAAGTGAGATAGATTGTTTTCGATGGTAGCTGATATGGAGTTGACGGCGAGAATTATGGGCCTATTTTGGTAGGGTTGTTGAGATTATTAATTTTGCTATTTTCCTTGTATGAATGTTGTATGCTTTGTGTTTAGCATTATACGAGAATTTATTCAGGTATCTCCCCTCCACTATATATATATATATATATATATATATATATATATATATATATATATATATATATATAAAGCAAGGAAAACCTATCTAGGATTCACCTGAACGGATCTTCAGAGTAAGCTGGCACTGGATGATTTGTTTCGCCCTCTTCAAATGTTTTTATTTATTTATTTATTTATTTATTTGTCAAACTTTTTTCAGGTACCGATTTTTTTTTTACATATCTGCAAGTTGTGCTATCCGAATTTTTTTCCAACCGAGTGTTACTATATTATTATATATATATATATATATATATATATATATATATATATATATATATATATGGGTAAAAATCTGTGAGTAAGTAATTCAAGGAGGTCCTAATAAAATTTGTAAAGTGTATACTGCAAAGCTTGATATTCGCACCAGAAGCTCGAATACGAACATTTCAGAGTGTTTGTGTGTCAATCTGAGGACAGTGGAGAGGATTCAGAAAGAGTTGGACGAGTTTAATGGTGATTACGAAGGTGTTTGGAGTGAACACTAGTGATGGTGATGTCATGCCTCCATTCATCTTCCCATCGGGGATCAAACTCAACATGGAGGCCTACATCAAGTGCTTACATGAGATAGTGCTGCCTTGGGTGAAGATAGAGGTTGCTTGAAGAAACTATATCTTGCAACAGGACTCTGCACCATGCCAGAGAAACAGGAGAACACAGTCAAAGCTGTCAGAGAATTTCTGCGACAACATCATCCCTTACATCTGGCCACCTATGTACGCAAACTGCAATACGCTTGATTATTATGTGTGGGACGCAGTTGAGCTCCCTGTAACAGCAAAACTGAACTGAGGGCAAGGATTATGGCAGCATTCACCAACTTCCGATTTCATCTAGAGACCAAGATTGAAGCCTATGGCGATTTTATTAAACAAAATTACTCTATAATATTTCAAGAATTTTTTTTGTAATTTTGGCAAATATATCTGTCAAAATGAGGTGTTAGTGTTATTTATATTTTTGCGTAATTTAGACGATAATTTATATATATATATATATATATATATATATATATATATATATATATATATATATATATATATGTATATGTGTGTGTGTGTGTGTTTGTGTAGAGCAAACACAAAATGTGCCAGAACATGCGTCTACAATAGGGATTTTCTAGTCTGTCTAGTATACGGATATCCTCGGATATAGTATAGCCTTTTATATATATATATATATATATATATATATATATATATATATATATATATATATATATATATATATATATATATATATATATATATATATATATATATATATATATATATATATATTGTATATATATATATATATTATACAACAGAATTACCTCATGGTTATAAACTATTTCAGCTGACGCCAAGTACGTCAATCTTATTCAGCCCTGACGGTGGACTGTATTTAGTGTCGGAACTAAATTTAAAATTCAATATTTAACAAAGACAGCAGTTGAAAAATTGATAGAGAACCTACCCATATTGAAACCTTGCCAGGACAGACTGAACAAGTACGGGTAAAGGGAGGGCGGAAGTTATCTGTCTTGAAAGGAAAGAAGCTTCACAAATTCAACCCCGATATTAACCTTAAGACCCTAAATTAGGGTTATAAGAAAAATAAAGGATAACTAAAGGAACGCCGAAAAAAGGAGTTTTATAAAATTAATTTTTTTAATTATTTATAATATAAAAAAAATAGTTTTCACTAAAAAATACTAAAGTAAGCCTGCAAAACGGATTGATTAACAATGAATTGTATTTAAATCGTTTATATTAAGAAAGAATGTATTACAAAAATTAATATTGTTAATGAATAAAATTCAATTCAAATTCAATGATAAATACATTATTCATTTAAAATTTTAAAGATAAGTAAAATTATTAAACCATACCCACTAATATATATATATATATATATATATATATATATATATATATATATATATATATATATATATATATATAAAACCAAAAGAATAACTTTTAAAAGATTTTAAAATATAAAGATAAAGGATTGAGTAATGAAAGAAAATGGATTTCTTAAAGTAGTAGATAATTATAAGATTAATATGTAGAAGGCAAAATATAGAAATATAGTATAAATGAAGATTGAATTCATGACTTCAGGCCGCGAATGCTGGATATTTATTAACATATTAAAAAATATCAAAAAACGAAAAGCATAAATGCTACAATATGAAAATGAAAAACACGTAAAATAAATTAGCTCAAACAAATAAATAAACAAATAAACAAAGAAGCCACTCCCGCAAAGAAAACCGCCTGAATAGATTACCCAAAATACACTACTGACCCATATATATAAATAACCGAGGAAAAATCCAGCATTCGCGGCCTGACGATTGCGTCCAGCATGAAACAGCCTGTCTCCTTTGAGTGTTGACTTCAATGTTTACTTTTATATTAGGTTGGTGCAAAAATAATGACGTAATAATGTCGTTTTTTGACCTTAAAAATACGTCAAAAAACGACATTATTACGTCATTATTTTTGCACCAACCTAATATTTATATTTACATACAATCTATCTCTGATATTGAGCACTTCATCCCCTAAATATAGTACACCTTAAAACTATATTTCTGCATATATATATATATATATATATATATATATATATATATATATATATGTATGTATGTATGTATAACGAAGCATAGTCGATATTAGTAAACACCAATCGTGATAAAGTTGGCAATTAAAAATTCTCAATACATGTTAAATCCTACAAAATATCTCCTTCTAATAATGTGGTGGGGGGATAGGCCAAATTCGCACTTTACCCCCTTCTTTTTTTTCCGAAAGTGAGTGTTTCCTAAGAGCTATAAATTACTTTTTTTTTCATTCATACCACCCGTCATTATTTGCGATCCGTTATTCAATAGTGAACCTGTATTTAGAAACCTCAAGATCGCCAATTTTTCCTCCTGGGAAAATTTTAAAAGTTTCTTTCCCCGCATTAACTCTGATTTTTCCTTACAATTTTCCATCTTATTTCCGATTGGGTGTTCTGTTAATCTTTTATTTTCCAGATGTATTTAGACCCAATCTAAACAATATTAATATAATTCATCGTGGCTCTGTATACGCTGTTGTCAGTCAAAAATTGTCCATTTAAGGGGCAATTTTCAGGTTTTCTACAATTACAGGTTTGTGTTTTACAAGTAGATTTACGCTCAACATTTTCTGGTTATGCCCCTTAATAATTCGCAATTTTCTAGGAGTAGATAGGTTCGCTTATTGTTCGATTCACAATTCCTACCCGGTTTTTTGAACAGGAGTAGAAGGTTTATCCTTTGTTTCCTGTTTAGGACCGGGTTTCAGATTCCTTCAACAACCTTCTTATTCTCTTTCCCTTTCAGTCGAACCTTGCGTTTTAGCAGAATTGCCACCTTTCTTGATGTTAATTGATTAAAATGAATATTGTTCTACTATTCCGTCGTTAAGGTTTAATTCTAAATCAAAATATTCACCTGTTTTCAAAGGTTTAACCATAGCGATGTTTAAAGTCTTTAAATAATTAAAACAGATATTTTTTCTGATTTTATCAATTTTCTACCGCTGTTCTTTTCAATTAATATCAGGGTCTGTATATTCCGTTATTTTCTTTATCTGTTATCTCTCTCGGTTTATTTCATATGAAATATTATTCAAAATGTTAGCCGTGGTGAGATCAAAATCAAAAATAATTTTCAATAAAACCTCGGACGTTTGGTCATATTTTGGTAGGTCAAGAAATTTTAGCAAAATCTCATAGATAAATATAGTAAACTTAAATAGTTAGTAAGATAGACCTGCGAGCTTGATAGTTTTTAAATATATGAATACAATAGATGCATATGAAGAGCTCAGATAGGTAGATAGGTAAATAGATAAAAAAGAATAGAATGAGATAGATACATAGATAGATAGATAGATAGATAGATAGGTAGATAGATAAGAGAGAGCAACAGATAAATTGCCAAAAGAAATAAGATAGATAGATATACCTGAAGAAGCAAAAGAAATAGATCTAAAAAACAAAAAAGTAAACTAGCTCGCTAGCTAGCTAGTTAGATATATAGATAGAAAAATCTCAAAAAACAACGGAATTAAGATAGATAGATTGATAGATAGATAGATATATAGATAACAAATTGAAATAGATAGATAGATAGATAGATAGATAGATAGATAGATAGATAGATAGATAGATATATAGATAACAAACTGAAATAGATAGATAGATAAATCTGAATAAACAAAAAAAGTAAGATAGATACATATAAACTGACAAAGAAATATGATAGACAGATCTGAAAAAACAAAAACGTAAGCTAGCTAGCTAGATAGATAGATCCATAGATAAATAAATCTGCATAAACAAAAGATAGATAGATGGATAGATAGATAGATATAAGCTGGCTGAGATAGATAGACAGACAGATAGATAAATAAATCTGAATACACAAGACAAGTAAGATAGATAGATAGATAGATAGATAGATAGATAGATAGATAGATAGATAGATAGATAGATAGATATGAGCTGACTGAGATAGATAGACAGACAGATAGATAAATAAATCTGAATACACAAGACAAGTAAGATAGATAGATAGATAGATAGATAGATAGATAGATAGATAGATAGATAGATAGATAGATAGATAGATCTGAATAAACCAGAGAAGTAAGATAGATAAATAAATAGATGTTTAGATAGATAGAGATGAGCTCACTGAGATAGATAGATAGATAGATAGATAGATAGATAGATAGATAGATAGATAGATCTGAAGAAATAAGATAGATATTTATAAACGGGTTTACAGGGAATAAAAGAATGGGATAAATAGAAACGAATTACAAAATGAATGAACAAAAAAAAAATGTCGAAGTAAAATGTTTGATTGCAATCATTGTGTTCCTAATTATTTGCCATCGCAGTAATTATGGAAAGTGCGTAGTTAATGAAATGATTAAGAATGATTACGACCCGAAATAATATTTGTTATTGGATAATGATCAGAACGCAGTGATTAATGCCTTTGCTATGAGACACTAAACGTACCACCGTCACTACGACTTTGCTTTTACCTCTCCCCTACCGTCTCTTTGCCTTCACTTCCTGGATCTGTAGTTATCGCGCATTCTTTGATACACTTGCAATGGCTGGCATTCTAGTTGATGCCTGTGCAGGAACCAGTACAGATCTGCTGCTATTGATTCTACTGATTTTCTTCTTCTTCTTCTTCTTCTTCTTCTTCTTCTTCTTCTTCTTCTTCTTCTTCTTCTTCTTCTTCCCTTACTACCACTACTACTACTACAGGAATTTTGCTTTTTAAAATGACTTTTGCGTTTCTAGTGTTAGTGCTTTTTGATAAAGTGATAGTTGGTATATGACATCGCCCAATTGACTAAAGTCTATATTGCAAAACGAACCCCGTAGCAAATAAAATAAAATAATTCACAAAAATACAATATATTAATAAATAAGAGTTAACAAAATAATCACTATATTTCAGCAGTTACTTATCTGTTTGCATCTCCAGGCGAATAGATATCCGTACGCGGAAGATAACAATTTGGGCAATAAATTTTATTCAATTCCTCCACAATAATTATCTTTTTTGATCTCAAAATACTTAATATGTAAAGTTATGTAATGAGAAGGTATTATATTTTCTAGCTTATCAGACACATGTTGCTCTTCATTTTAAATTAAATTTTCAAAAACACTTTAAACATATAACGTTAAACATTATTTTTTTCTAAGCTAACTTCGTTTTTCATTATATTTTAGACAACCTTCATTCTATGTAATCTGTAAAAATTAATTTAAATGAAAACATTTATCATATATCTCAATGAAATATATCAATATTTCTTTGGTTCTTATCGAGATGGTCATTCTTCAAATATTCGGTATCTTTAAACATTTTGGGATTAACGAACAAAATATCGGGGTTAAATGAGTACTTTTGTTTCGTTACATATCGAAAGACTGTGTCATTCGTCAGTTTTTATTTTATTAGGTAATTAAGCAATTTTCCTAAACTTGTGTAAAGAACGAATATATTTTTCATCAAACTTCTACCTTTATATATTTTTAAATTCTCTGGTTTTCTACCGTATTGAGCGTCTTTCAGAATATATCTTTTTTAAGGACAATCCAAGAACCAATTCAAGTATCTTTGCAAACTACAATGTTAATTTTAAAGCTAGACGCTTTCGATATAATTTCCGTTTTTCTATGCATAGAACAGATTCTTCCTTTTTTCTTTCTTCTTCTTCTTTTCTTCTAATTCTTTTTTTTCTTCTTTTCTTTTTCTTCTACTTCTTTTCTTTTTTTTTTCTTCTTCTTTTCTTCTTCTTTTCTTTTTCTTTTCTTTTTCTTCTTTTCTTTTTCTTCTTTTCTTTTTTTCTTTTTCTTCTTCTTTTCTCTTCTTCTTCTGGTTTTCTTCTTCTTTCCTTCTTCTTTTTTCTTCTTTTCTTTTTCTTCTTCTTTTCTCTTCTTCTTCTTCTTCTTCTTCTTCTGCTTTTCTTCTTCTTTCCTTTTTCTTTTTTCTTCTTTCTTCTTTTCTTTTTCTTCTTCTTTTCTCTTCTTCTTCTCCTTTTCTTCTTCTTTCCTTCTTCTTTTCTTCTTTTTTTTTTCTTCTTCTTTTCTTTTCTTCTTCTTCTTTCCTTCTTCTTTTCTTCTTCTTCTTTTCTTTTTCTACTTCTTTTCTTCTTCTCTGTACTGTGACTCTTCAGGTCATGGGCGATCATGGTTCTCCACATTTTCCTGTCCTTTGTACCCCTTCATAAAGTTTGTCTTTTTCTTATCTCTCTTAATCTCTGTTCTACCAATAAGTTCGTTTGGTAGTTTATAGCGCTGTTTCTCCTGTTCGTTTTCATTTCAAAATATCATATGAGTGTCAAATTTCCCCAGCCTTCTTTTCTAATTATGAGAAATTTTAACGGTCTCTTTCCGATGATGATATTGTCCAGCATTCACTGCCATATAGGAAGACGGATTAGAGTTCTTCATTAATATATAGTGTTATAGTTGTGTGTGGTATTCCTTTGTTTTGTTGTTTTTGATAATATAGGATATTATTTTTTCTGCTGAAAAGTAGTTCTTTTGCTAAAGCTCAAAATATTCGTAACTATAGTGTCAATATGGTAATGTTAAAAAAGTAATGAAAACCTGTTTGCTTATTATTTTCTTACTTCTAAGAGAATGACAATGACCGGGAGAACAATAATGAAAATCGGCCGGAAAAAAACAAAAGAATATGAAGAAATAAAATAGAATAAAACTTCAAATTCTTGCAATTAGACTGGGATTCAGAACCTCCGTCTAGTCAGCCGTACTTATTGGAATAATTCTTCGAATGGGCGGCAAAATCTCTACATCTAACTCCACTAACTTCTACCTAAGAATGAAATCTCCAACTGTGTCTAATGGAATCATTTTATTTCTTAGTACTCAGCTTAGTTTTTGGAATGCTTCCTTGGTTATCCCAATAGGCCTTCGGATTTCGGTGTCACATTTTCGATCTTCTGTTAAAAGACTTCCCAGATATATAAATTTTTGAAAACTGTCAAAATAATAAAAAAAATTGGATATCACATGTAACTAGAGGAGAAAACAATGACATAATCAATTCTAAATCTTATTTTTCCTGTTTTGCAAGGTTTCGCTTGTATCCTATTTTCTTAAGATATTTGAAACAAAGATACTACAATGAACCAAAAGGAAACTATCAATAGCTTTGGTGTCATGGCTTAAAGTAGAAAGAGGTTTATTGTGATTTGCGTCACACGATCTCTCTCTCTCTCTCTCTCTATCTATCTATCTATCTATCTCAGTCTCTTTCTTTCTATATCTATCTATCTATTTCAGACTATTTAATATCTATCTATCTATCTATCTATCTATCTATCTATCTATCTACACACAGACATACAGACACACACACACATATATAAAATTGGACATTGAAGTCAAATATGTATTTGTGTGTGTGTGTGTGTGTGTGTGTGTGTGTGTGTGTGTGTGTGTGTGTGTTTAAAGAAGAGAAACCGCAAGCGTTTTTTGGTTTTAATGTGGATTTTTTTTTTTTTTAAATATTATGCTTTATTTTCCATGATTTTCTTGAGCGTTCAAGAAAGGTATTTGGGTCACTAACACAAAAAAGACAATGTCTCATATTGAGAATATTTAACATCGGAAAACATAAGAAAAAAATTAATTATTTTTAATAATATGTGGAAATCTCCACGCTTTGCCTGATGAAGGTCGCGAGACCGGAAACTCGTGTAGCAAAATTATGGAAAATAAAGCATAATATTAAAAAAAAAAAATACACATTGAAACCAAAAACTTTTGCGGTTTCTCTCTTCTTTTTAATATGTACACTTTTCTCCCGTTGGAACTACTATAACCTCTTCTTTTTATATATATATATATATATATATATATATATATATATATATATATATATCCTTACTATATGTGTGTGTGTGTGTGTGAAAGATCATTCTACAAGTGCTACATACACCATGTAACACAGTAATACCTGTCGCCCCCCATCAGTTTAAGGAGGGTGGCTAGGTGCATTAAAAACAAGAGCTACCAAAAGGATAGATGAACCTTCGTGTAGGGTCATCGGTCATCTAGCTGACTCGGCTTTATACATAGGTACGTAGCCAGTGTGGTCATATCCCGTCGTTGATGGGTAACGGGCTTCCGTGTCTGAAGTCAGCGGAGAGGGTAGAGAGTGCCCTCCCCCGATGGAAGCAACGGCCCTGTGTCCGTTGAAGACATCAGCTGTAGTTTGACCGGTAGAGCGTCGGTTATGCTGAATGAATATGTCTCCGGATTTCAGTGAACTGGTCAGGCACCCAGTAGTGCTGCAACCATATGACCTCTTCTGGTCATGTGACTGATGTTGATGATGTTTCTGATAAATACATCTTCGTAATTACAAATGATAGTTTTTAAAAATGTTATAGTTCCCAAACTAGGATTTAAAATCGACACGTGGAAACAATATATTATCTACCTCTACTTATTGTTCTTTATTTAATCATTTTAAAAGTGGCTTTTAGCGCGGAAAGAGTGTTCGGCATGCTGAGTTCAAAATCCGATCATGGCCGTTGCTTTGACTTTCACTTTCTGTTTCACTTTCACTTTCACTTCCGTAAATTTTCCTTTAGGAAAGGTATAAATCCATTTCTTGTCACTGTGGCTTATCGAGCACGGCAAGCTGGGTCTTTTTAGTCATGGTTGACAACCAGAGAAAGCTAACTCTCAATTCAGAGCTAGCATGGCACTGGGAACTACAATCTCTACTGAAACTACATCAAGGCTGAAGTGAGAACACGTCATCTATTTTAAGTAATTTTTTTATCCCGTGACCCGAAGAGTCGTAGCGACACCAGGTGTACTGCAGTTCGCAATAGAAGTGTTTTTCTTCAGGCAAGATAGCCTGACGGAGCCCAATCCTTTCCAGGCAGGTTCTGAATTTAGAGATGTTCCTTCTCCTAGACCGGTTGCCACTCAAAGCTACAGAACCTGCTATTTACCTGGAAGAAGAATAGGATTCATACCTTTCTTAAAGGTATTTGTCCGTAAGTGAATGTAATGGATTTGACTGGAATTCGAACTCGGTTCTTCGTTTCCTTAATCCGAGCATCCATTTCAACTACAATGCACCGTGCCTCCGTTTTAACTGTAAGTAAATATAAACCCAGTAAACGACAGAAGCGTCCAGTATCTACGATGTTGGGATGGAAAATTCTGACTATGAAGAAGTTATGCTCGAGCTGTCAAATTTTACTTGCATTAATTTCAACTCTTCTTATTAATAATGGCATTGTTTCTTTTCAGGTAAACCAACAACTGACTGTTCAAAGAATTGTGTTTATCTTGTTAAGCAAAAACGTCATCAACAGCTGATATGACGTCATCATCACTACGATACTGCTACCCAGCCAAGTGTTTTTCATGTTAAGGAATAGATGATAATTATATCAAAAGAATATTGAGGTTCATCAACCAGTTCAAAACTATTGTCAAACAAAGCAGCCTTTGAAATCAAGGATTGTGAGCTGGAGCATTTTCCTGGTGAAACAAGACCCCTTTCGTTAGTTTTCCTGGTCGTTTTGTCTTGATAACCTTTCATAACTGCACCAGCAAGTTGGATGAATATTGACCATGTACTTTTGAATATAGTCAATAGACACAAACCCTTCCGTGTCTCAAGAAACTGGAATCACTTTTCCTGCAGATGAAACGACCTCGCTGAGGAGGGGTGTTTGCACTGTATAGATTGTCTCTTTGTTCCTGGCTCAAAGTGATGAATACTCATTCTAGGTTAGGAAACGTTTAGGGAAATCAGATTTCCTGTGATCTGATCATGTTGGTTCACTTTTGATCAGGTGTCAGAATATGTGGCACCTTCGCCATGCCAATTTCTTCGTGCATAATATTATCAGCACTCTTAGGGGATCAACTAATAGTATTAGTTATTTGATTTATAGTCAATCGCCTATTATCTATCACCATATTAACACGATCAATGTTTTCCTTGTTGGGGACAATTGTAGGAGGTCCAAACTTAGGGTCATATTCAGATCTCTCCCTTCTCCTCCTAAATTCAGCCATTTTTGTACTGTTCATAGAGCGCTCTCCCCTAATGTAGAACCAAATCAGCATCATTGTTCTGGGGGTTAACGGATTTTTCCACGGGTACTTGATAACAACACGATGCCAAATTTTGTCCATTTTCAAGAGAAGTCACTATTTGTTACATTTGAAGTTTCCTTTGAACAGTGAGATATCCGTTTACCTGGAAATAAATAATGCAGTCGTTAATAAGAGGAGTTCAAATTAATGCATGCAAGGTTTCACAACTCTAGCATCACTCCTTCATAGTCAGCCTATAAAATGTTCTTTTCCCCCTCGTACACTGGAATATTTTTAGCACAAGGTCTACCGTCAATACATGGTACGGACATCAATCTGAAAAGGATTTTGTGATACTGCTATGGGACTTTGCTGCAAACCATAACAGAACCGTTAAGGCAAACATATCGGAGAAAATGCCTTTTAATTGACATGAGAACCCCCCCCTGTTTTATCGAAAAATATCAGCAAATGATTTTAAGGAATTAAGTAAATAGAAAGGAATTGAAATCCAAAAGAAGTGGCGCATAAAATAACTGATTATCGCTGTCATTTTAGAGGCAAAGTGTATGATCAAGAGAGGTACTGGTAAACAGCATCGGTAATCTATGGAGACACTCTCCACCGGGAAACCAAAAAAAATGTAGCAGCTGATTTAAGCAAACAAAACAACAGCAGCAGCGGCAACAACAACAGCAGCATCCATAATAATAATTATAATAATAATAATAATAATGAAAATAGAGGTATGGATCAAGAAAGGGGACTTTAATGAACAGAATCATTGCTATATACTGCACAAAAGTAAGCCTTGATCAAATATGTTAATTTTTATATTGACAAAACTTTGGGGTCACATCGACGAGGTGTAATGGTTAGCAAGCTTATCCCGCTAGAACAAATTGCGACTGACTAGTGAGTTCGATCCTCGATCCTCACTGGGTGCTCCACTCTTTCGGCCTTGTGTCACATCTGAGCTACACTTAGAAAATCATTTTGGGCACCTCAACATGGTGTAATGGTTAGCAAGCTTACCCCTCTATAACAATTGCAACTGAGTAGTGAGTTACATCCTCAGTAGTTGCTCCACACTTTTGGCCCTGTGTCACATCTCAGTTACACTTAGAAAATCACAATATTGACAAAACTTTGAACTCTGCTGTGCAGAATGAGTGAAAAATCGTGAAAGCGGCACGTCGACTCAACGAATGTACCAGTAGAGAAACGACAATATTGCACGTCTTCTACACTGGATGCTATGTTGTCTATGATAACTGGAGTGGACGGACAGGTAGTATGGGAATATACGACTTGCAGTAGTGGAAAATGAGGGTATAAAGCTGCACTGAAACATCACCTTGTAAATATAATTGAATCATAGACATCATGAATGCTCGAGCGGAAAAGAAACTATGTTGTATGATAGCTATAACGGTAACAAATGTCGTAGCGGTAGTTGAGAAAGAAAAGGAGAAAGAGGAAAGATATCAAAATTTGAAACATCAGCGAGCACCCTCGAGGGAGCTTAAGAAAGGTAGAATTTTTTCTCAGTCATTGTGGTTACCCCTGGACAGAAAATGTCTTGCTAAAATTGCGATTCTGATTAGAACTGAGATCTAACTTCCGAGAAAGTTTGTGTCGATGTAGAGAAGTAACATAAATGACATGAACCATAGTCGGTTATTAGGAGTCTCGCCTGATTTATTAAATTACGGCATAAGATGTGGTGGATTTGATTGAAACTAAACAGTAGTCCGTCCTGCCAAGAATAATATTTGGTTATGACCGATTGGCGCTAACCGATGGCTTGCAAAGGGATTATAGGGCTGCTCAGTACATACTTCAGTTAATATATCGCGCATTCAACCTCCCCCACGAAGAGAACTGATGGGAACATCACAACATGGAATTTCATGATAATGTCATCGATAACGTTGATAGGGAAATCCAGGCAAACCGAAAGGCATAACTGAAAAATCATGTCTGCTGATAGATTTTGCGGCTCCGACCGACAAAAACAGATTTTTGAAAATGTTTGAGAAACTAAGCAAATACATGGAGGTAGAAATCATTATCTGCTGTAATTGGATCTTTGGGAATGATATCAAAAGGAACAAACAAATATGTGAATTAAATTCCAAGTAGTCCTAAAATATGGGAACTGCCGATATTCATAATCATAGTCTAGGAATAGAAGAGGTGGATTTATACCGTTCTCAAGTCTGTTTGCGCTTATGTGAAGATAACGAACCCGACTGGAATTGGAAATCAGAGAGTCGATTTTTTCAATTATGAGCCAGTATCTTTTACATCGCACACACATCCGACCTTACAGCACCTGGTATTCCCATGCACGAACTTATCTAGGTACTGACCAGATTCGACATTGCTTAACTTCGGTGATCGTACGGGTACCGGTGTTTCAACGTGTTAAGGCCGCGAAAAATGAAAGATGAAACGGAAAGAATATGAAAAAGGCGAACAAATATAGCCGATTACCTTGAAACGAGACTGAAAGGGAGGGGGAAATGAAAACAGCAGCCATTCCGATCAAATGGGAATCACTTTGAAGAATATGTAACACTCATGCGAAGTCTTTCGAAGAATTGACAATCTGAGAATAAAAATCGAAATCGTTTATACAATCAGAAGAGTGAAGAGAATTGTGAGCAGTTTTAAGAAGACTTGCTGTCGTTTGATCTCAAATGTAATTCACCAAATATTACGCAAATGAAAACGTAAATAATCATTCTTCACAGACACACATACATACATACATACATATATATATATATATATATATGAACGTGTGAATTCTATTTGAATTCAATTTATATATTTTTCTTTTTGGTATTTATAGGCAGTTCATCCTCAGGAATAAAAACTGAGCATTTCCTTTATTAAACCGAAGGTTAAAACAATAAAATACGATAAAAGTAAAAACAAAAAAGGAAATGCCAAAAACAAACAGAAAAGGACAATCTTATCAAGCGAAAAAACCTTCTGAAGTACCTCAGAGCCAAAAACAGAGCAGTTAACATAAAACAAATGAAAAAAAAGGAGTGTATAATATGTAAAAAGCAGGAACTGGAGAAGGAAAGAAAATTCGAAAAAAGAAAGGAGGCAAATCAAATGATTTAGAAACAGTCGTTAAGGAAAATACACAATTATGGTATGTTCAGTGGAAGGAAAGGGGACCAGGAAAGGAAAATGGGTCTAAAAGATAAGCGAGAGTAAATTCGTAATAATAGGAAGAAGCGGTTTCTTGATAAGGTTAAGAGAAAGAGAATCTATGGAATCCATTAAAGATGAATCAGATGAATTCAGAGAAAAAGAAAATCCTGAAGAATTTTAAAAAAAAAGAAAGAAAGAAAGAAAGGAAAGACTGGGTAGAAAGAAGAAAACGAAAAGAAAAATGAATCTAGAAGCATTAAAATAAAAAAAAAGAAGTAACGTTATTAGAAAACGAAAAGAAAAACCACATCTGGGAGCGTTGAAAGAAAGAAAGGAAAAAGAACTAGGGAGGAATTTTCAGAATACGAAAAGAAAAGAAAAAAACGAATCAGGAAACATTGAAAGAAAGAAAGAAAGAAAGAAAGAAAGAAAGAAAGAAAGAAAGAAAGAAAGAAAGAAGTAATGCACGAATAAGCACAGGAAAAAGAAAGTGATGGGAAATATAAAAAGAAAACAAAAAAGAAGTATTATGAAAAGAAAAAAGGAAACAAAAATGAATCTAGAAGCATTGAAATAAAGAAAGTAGGAAATTTATTAGAAAGCGAAAAGAAAAAAGGAAAGAAAAAACGAATCTGGAAAAGAAAGAAAGAAAGAAAGAAAGAAAGAAAGAAAGAAAGGAAAGACTGTGTAGAAAGTTAGAAGAAAACGAAAAGAAAAAAAAGGAAACAAAAATGAATCTAGAAACATTGAAATGAAGAAAGAAATAAAGTTATTAGAAAACGAAAAGAAAAACTACATCTGGGAAAGTTGAAAGAAAGAAAGGAAGGAAAAAGAACCAGGGAGCAAGTTTTAGAAAACGAAAAGAAAAGGAAAGAAGAAAAAAAACGAACCAGGAAACATTGAAAGAAAGAAAGAAAGAATTGGGGAGTAATTCTCAAAAAGAGTTAGGAAAGAATGACTCTGGAAGCATTCAAATAAATAAGTGTATAGACATTCAAGAGGAAAGAATAAGAGAAAAGGAAGGAAATATAGTCTGGAAACATTGAAAGTAAGAAAGAAAGAAAGAAAAAAATCCCGTTTCAAAGAAGGAAAAAGCAGAATAAAGAATAAGAAAAAATATAAATCTCTACTAGATAGGCAAGAATAGAAAGACATTAGAAAAAAACTTAAAAGACAAAAAATGGCGAAAAATGTCGGCAAATAAAGATCAGAAAATGTAAAAAAAAAAAAAAAAAAAAAAAGTGACAATGTTTTAAATTATTACAAAATAGATGAAATTCAGAACGAAATCATAATGAAAAAGAAGACAAAACAAAGAGAACTATTAAACCTATTGTAGGCAATAATTGTGTAGAAAAAAAAAACCCTGAATTATATATATATATATATATATATATATATAGATATATACAGCGATATGATGATAAAAAATAGAAGATAAAAATTCAAGCAGATCCACGGAGATATGAAGCTAGAAACAATTGAAATAACAAATAGATTTTTTTTTTTTTCATCTTTTGTTTTAATGCCAAAGAAAAAAAAGCTCATCAAATGAACGGTTCGCATATCTTTACTCTCTCTCTCCTCCCCCCACACACACTTCATCCCTATTTCTTACTCTCTTTTTAACTGTTCATAAAATCCAAAGCAGTTTGCACATAATTATTGTATGCGTGTTTATTAAAGATGGCCTTCGGGGCTCTTTGGATAATTTTTCCCACCCCGCGTTCTCTCCTTGTCTTTTGTTTAAATGAATGAGTAAGTGACGACGACTATGACTACGACGATTTTTACCACTATTACTAATAATAAGCAGAAGAATAAAAAGAAGACAGTCACTGCATAAAGCAGAACAATGACGATAGTGATAATGTTACTCATGCTTCTCATCAAACGATTTGCATACGCAACAAAATAATATCCGTACAAACAAACGTTAATAATAAAGTCAAGAGAAACAAAGAAATAACAGTGGCAATAATAATAATAATAATAATAATAATAATAATAATAATAATAATAATAATAACAATCATGAGAATATGTATGCTTATTTACATAGCAGTATCATGTGGAAAATGAACTGTGTCCCAGGTAATATAAAAGCTTCCCAGAAGATCGCCCTACGAGGAACATCCCATTCGCCCGACTAGGATCATCCCAACCGGCTCTACAGGATACAAAGTAGGAACAATAACATACGCAAATAATAATAATAGTAATAATAATGATGGTGATAATAATAATAATAATAATAATAATAATAATAATAATAATAATAATAACAACAACAATCATGAGAATATGTATGCTTATTTACATAGCAGTATCATGTGGGGAATGAAGACTGAGACTGTACCAATAGTAATCGGAGCACTGGGCCTCCTGAGAAAGGGAACAGTGTCCCAGGAAACACACAAGCTTCCCAGAATATCGCCCGACTAGGAACATCCCATTCGCCCTACTAGGAAGATCCCACCCACAGGATACAAAGTATTAACCATCACATAAACAAATAATAATAATAATAATAATAATAATGAGAATATGTACGCTTATTTACATAGCAGTATCATCTGAGAGAATGACCTTTATGAAAATTATTGAGAAATTGTCCAAATATAAGGACCTGGAGATCGAGATTAACAGGATGTGGGGAATGAAGACTGAAACTGTATCAATAATAATCGGTTCTCTTGGGGTCGTGGGAAAAGGAATAGTGTCCCAGTTAACATACAAGGTTCCAAGAAGATCGCCCTACTAGGAACATCATATGTACTAAGAAAAGTGCTATCAATTAAATGACAATTCTCCTATAGGGCCTAAGGACCATAGTTTGCACCCGGCTCTACAGGATACAAAATAGGGACCATAACATACACACATATTATAATAATAATAATACACACAGACAGAACAGTTAAAGCTAACCGCCCAGACATTGTTATTAAAGACCACAAAAAAAAGGTGCGTCCTTATTGATATGGCAGTATCTGTGTCTGCAGTGTATCTTTGAAGATCTTCAAAAAGCTGTCAAAATACAAGGACCTTGAAATCAAAATCTCAAAAATGTGGCACATGGGAACATCAACAATCGCTGTTGTAGTTGGAGCCCTCGGATGGGTTGGAAAAATTCCAGTAGACTAATTGAAGGGATCTCTGGAAGCCTATGCCTTAAAAAAATAACAAAAAGTGTTCTCACAAGTACAACCCACACCTTATCAAGGGCTTTATCTATGTAAAATATGTGTTGTTGCTGTTTTTTCTTCTTTAATTGCTCAGTGGAAAATGTCATGATGCCATTTCTGACCTTAGGTTTCTGTTTGGGATCCAGAAAGAAATATGACCCCACGATAAATCAAAGGAAATAATAATAATAATAAGAAGAAGAAGAAGAAGAATACAGTGTTGATAAGGCTTGATGCCATTTAATAATAATAAATGCTGGTTCACCTTCCCTCAAACTCCTTTTGCATATGTCTCTCGTTACTCGTTATTTTCATGGCAGTTGTTCAAACGAGCTACATTTCTTTGTTCCACCAGTTCAGACCTTACCGGCAAGAGCCGCTACTCTGTGGAACAAACTCCTGGGAGGATGATTCATCGATAAATACAATCTTAAACTCTTCAAGTCCAGGCTCAGTCTTTATCTGTCCTGCTTATCCTCATAATCAACACTGATTTCCTCTGCTTTTTTAGGTTCATAAAACCACCTCATGGCCATTCAATGTGGTTTAATTGTCACGACAGATCTATTGCGATTGAATGGCGAGTTCTACACTGGGTGCCCCTTGCTATCGGCCATCTGCTGAGAATATCACCATAAAGCCACCATATTCAGTAAGTCTCAACTTTGAGTGGCTCTTGGGCCTTGTATTTCGTGAACAGCAAAAACATCACGGTCACCAACACAGAAACAAAAGCAACAACAACAACAACAACAACAATAATAATAATAATAATAATAATAATAATAAGAAGAAGAAGAAGAAGAAGAAGAATGAGAGGGAATGAATTAGGAGCCTCAGAAGTTAAAGCGGAAGAAGAAGAAGAAGAAGAAGAAGAAGAAGAAGAAGAAGAAGAAGAAGAAAATGAAAGAGAACGCATTAGGAGCGACAGAGATAATTTAGGACCTTAAAAGTTAAAGTGAAATAATAATAATAATAATAATAATAATAATAATAATAAGAAGAAGAAGAAGAAGAAGAAGAAGAAAGTCAATATGGTCAAGGAAAGATATAGGAAAGTTGAACGGAAGAAGGTTGTC